CGAACACCATAAAGTAAGTTTGATCTGAAGGATGCAGATCTCCATCCTTTATTTAAGCATAAAATGCAGACTATAGGTAATAATCTGTTACCCCCTAAAATTGCCATTTGCATATGTTTGTGAGTATTCAGTGAAGGCAAACTGGTGACCGTTGTTATATTGAGTTGATTTTGAGCCATAAGAGAGCCACTATTCATTTTCTCTTTCTAGCTAGAAAAAAAACCCCAAAACGGTTCAGTGAATTTAATATAATTAGGAATTTTTGTTTCCCTGATAAATTTTTTAGTGATTTCCATCTTAAGTATGATAACAGCATCTTCCCACTGGAAAATATGATTGGGTTCAGTAAGCTTCTGGCTTTTGATGTCTTCATTTCAGAATTATTTTTTTTTACTTTATTGGTTTTTTCTTTGCTTCAAAACAGACGGTCTTGTGTTTTTCAAACAATTGATTGTTTTGTTTTGTTTTTTTTCTTAGCTGCAGAGTCTTCCAGCCAGATCTTAAGAATAACACGGGAGAGAGAGAAATTACAGGTAAAAACTCTTTTGTCTTCTCCTGACAGGATTCGCAAAATATTAGTGACAAGATTTTAGCCTGAATTTAAGAAGTCAGGCCTGTCAGTCACACGTAAGGAACGATGCGGTCAGATGTTTATCATGGACTGGCTGAAAACCCATTAGTTACTGGTACTGGGGACCTCGTAGCTCAAAAAAGGAATTATTTTCTTAGACGAAATGCACCTGGAACAAAATCAGCCTTGGGGATTTAGATCAAAAGAAGGCTGAGCAGAATGTCACATTCACTCGGTCAAAGATTACCTAGGAAGAATCTGAAAAGCTAATGCACTTTCAAGTATTTTGCTTCTCTGGGTTTTTGCCACAATAAGAAGGCACATCAGGAGTAAGAACTTCAGAACATTCTTTTCTGTGAAGTTTACTCTTGTCTCTGTTTTGATCATGGTTCTCACATTGTAATGTCTAATTTTCTCACTATTTTTAGAGTGTGCAGCAGATACGAGGAATGATATCCTGCTTAATCAGTAAGTTTGAAAAAAAATATTCCCATGACTGTAGAGTTCTGACCTGCGAATACATTTCTTCACGTGACATGCAACCATCAAAATATTACTTGTCAAAGAAATGCAGCATACATATTTATTAGATATAAAATTACTCGATGCTTTTGATTGGTGAAAGAAGGGATACAGCAAAAAAAGGATATAGCTGTGTTGGTCACTCACACCAAGATAACTGTTTCTGAAAAATTGAACAATTATGGCTTGAAACTGCTTCCTTCCAAAGCTGATTGCTTGGGAATGCTTTCCAGGAGAGACCTACCAGACCCCATCTCCAATAGACATAGTCTTTGATATTTATTACTATAACTTTTTTCCTCAGAGATAGATAAAGTGTTAGTCTGGCCTCAAGGTTCTTGTCTTGATAAAACACGATGATGGGATTGTTAAAATTAAAATGACCTGGTAGGTAAAATAACAAATTTAGACAGTTTCTATGTGTGAAGGGGAATTTCCTGGAGTTAAAATGTATAGCAAGGAACTAGCTTATGTACAACTGTAGTTAACTCATGCTTTTAAAGATAACCACCCAATATAATAACACATATATGTGTATGTGTGCACGCACATATATATATATGTATATATAAAATATAACCATCAGTACTCTAGCTAAGGTTTCTTTGTCTTGAAAGAGTTTGCCTTCATACTTCCATGTACTATTTCCTAAGCAATTGATCCGTCTTAGACCTTAGCTGTTCTCAATTATTGCATGGTTTCGGCTGGAAGGGACCTTAAAGCTCATCCAGTTCCCCCCCCTGCCCTGGACAGGGCCACCTCCCACCAGCCCAGGTTGCTCCAAGCCCCGTCCAACCTGGCCTTGAACCCCTCCAGGGATGGGGCAGCCACAGCTTCTCGGAGCACCCTGCCCCAGGGGATCACCGCCCGCACAGCCAACAATTTCTTCCTAATATCCCATCTAAACCTCCCCTCTTCAAGTTTAAAACCATTCCTCCTCGTCCTATGGCTCCCCTCCCTGACCCAAAGTCCCTTCCCAGCTCTCCTGGAGCCCCTTTAGGCACTGGAAGGGGCTCTGAGGTCTCCCCTTTTTCACCTTCTCTTCTCCAGGCTGAACCCCCCCAACTCTCCCAGCCTGTCCTCCCAGCAGGGGGGCTCCAGCCCTCCCAGCATCTTCTCTATTTTTACTTGTCACTGAGGAATTAAAATGCTATCTGTATGTTGAACAATGATTTGTGTCATGCTAAGATGAGAGAATCTCATGGGAAAATAAGATTGCAACTCAAATTAGAATATGCTGAAGACACATAAGTAGTGCCTGATATCTTCTGCCCAGTCCCATATGAGCTATGCAACAGAATTCTCTGCCTTTTCAGTATATTGCTGAAGCCTTCTGTTCTGAAATCTTTTAACAAACTGTCTACCTAACTCACCTTTGTAGAAATGAAGAACCTGAAGCTGTTCCATGTGAGATCACTGGTGAGTTTGGTGTCCTGGTTTGAGTGACACAGGGCTAATTTCTCTTCTAATACTTGGGAAAACTGCACTTTTAGAAGACTCTAGTGTCTGAATTTGTGAAAATAGTTACTTTATAGCCAGCTGTGGCGCATGGGTTTCAAGGTCTCAGTGGCTTTGAGCTCGCCAGGTGCGGGGATGAGGAGGAGCAAGACCTGGGCACTTGACCCAAGCTGCCAAGGGGATTATTTCATACCATGAACATCACATTTAATATAAATTAGAAAGTTTGCTGCAAAGTGCTCTCTCTCCCTTGATGGCTGCCATCCTGAGAACTCCTTGCCCTGGTGCCGGAGCCCTGAGCCCTTCCCTTCCTCCTGCAGTCGTAGCGCTGGCAGTGTCCCACATGGGGATGCACAGCTTCCTACTGATATAGTTGGCTGAGTATAATCTTAGTATATTTTGTATTGGTATCAGGATCAATATTGGCTCTGTAGTGTTATTAATGTTAATTATCTAGTCTTACTCTATTAAATCTTTTTATATTTCAAACCCCCAAGTTTCCTTGATTTTTCCTGATTCCCCTTCTGGGGGCGGGGGGGGGCATCAGGCAAGAGAATAATTGTCTAAATGACAATTAATTGTTGTGGGTTTCTCAAACCATAACAGTTGGAAATAGATTTAATACAAAATGACTATTCAGAACTATTGATTCTGTTTTTAACATGCCCAGAACAATCTCCCTGACCAAGAGGACTATTGTATGAACGGGCTTTGTCCCATAAAGCTGTTTACAGGCATTGTATTGGAGGAGTACAGGTGGCCCTTCCACATGCTGAAGGTGGAGTACTGAAAATATTTCTCAGGATATATTTGGTTTTAATTGTACTTACTTACTCAGTGGTATTTGTAAAATGAGCGCATAGATCTTCAGCTCGGTGGATAAAATAATAAGAAAATAGTGCAACAACTGGAGTATCCCCTTTTCTTTCACCAGGGATGAACACTTTGCTTCATGCCCCTATCCAGGCATCGGTGCAGCAGACTGAGGTATGTGAAGGCTTTTATTTTTTTTGGTGCTGAAAATATCAGTGTCCAAATTATATTCCAATAATTTGTGTAGTAAAGATGAAAAATATAACTCTGCTGCCTAAAAAATAAATCCTTGTATTCATATAAAATTCTTCTGAAAGCTAATCTTCTGTATTTTGAAGTATTTTCATCACCTGATAGGCATTATACTGCAGTATTGATCTTGCTTCTAAAATTGCTTGCTAACTTTTCAGTATCTGAGCTAGTTCCTCCATTCTTTTCAATTCTTATCTAAGAATATGCAAAGGAGCTTATGTTTCAGATAGGTCTGGTTATGTATTTTTTCTCATATATTCCTCTCTGCTTGTGTATTTTTTTCTTCCATGGGTAGAACGGATATGCATAAATGTGCTCTCTGTTCCTGCTGTTAAAAACAAATTTAGACAAATTGCAATAATTAGCATAAAAAGGTAACTGAATTTCTTCAGTTAAATGAAGTGATAAAACACAAAATTCTTAGCTAAGACCGTCACAGGCACGACTGCACAGAAATCTGGAACTGTGTTACACTTCAGTGATGATGTTATGGCGCTGTGTTGTTAAACAAAGCAATTGTCAAAACAGCCGCCCTTACTGCAATGGCTTCTGACTTCTATGTTGAGTTTAAAGATATGGCTTAAATGCATATGTTAGTGCTTGTTAACGAATGTTAAAAACAAAAGAAAATAGTTGAAATCTGGCGTGGATGAGAAGATGCATACCATGAGCCTATACAGGTCAGATTGAAACTCCCTCTCCTTGTTTTGGGTAATGTATATGGTTGTGCTTCTTCTAGTATATTTTATTTCTTGCATTTATAAAATAACATGTAATTTGAAGTAAACATGAAGCTGTTCTTAATATATTAATTATATTTGATAAAATATAGTATTATATCTTGTTACTGGCCAATTTTTATTTTTTTTTTTTTTAATCTTTTAAAACATCCAACTGGGTGCTGCTGCTTTGGGGCACGTGCATGACGAGCCGGGCAATGTTTTTTGCCTGCAGCTGGGGAGGAGGGTGGAAGGCAGAAACCAAACGTAGAGATATAAAAAATACTGATCCATAAGGCACAGTAATTGTTCCATGCTTACAAAGATATGTCTGGATATGAAGTCTTTGCCCAACAGTAAAACTGAGGCACATTCTTTCAAAAAAAGCCCTTTAAATACGATATGCTGTAATAATTAAGTTGTCATCCTTTCCTTGAATGTGTTATTGCTAACCAAGGACAAGTGAAATCAATCATTTTTTTTAAAAAAAAAAAAAAAAAGTAAATATAGAGCTATAACCTTAGGACTGCATTAGTTGACTTCTCTTTTAAATAGAATAACTGATTGTGTCATTTGTTTTAAGTGTCAGTACTGTAATTCTCCCTCCCCCCCCTTTTTTTTTATTTCAGTGGCCTGATGCGGACAATGCCATTCAAAGAACAAATATGCCTGACACCACCCTCATCTTTTCAGATGAAAATGAAATGGATATGACAGCTAGTCACACTGCAGTGATTACACGTAACCTGAAAAACAATCAAGCTGACAAAACTGAGAAAATAGATATCACGTCGTTTCTGGCTAGGTTAAACTGTAATAATGAACAGGCAGAAATGAGCAAAGAATTTCGTTTTTTCTCTGACCCTACAAACCATTCGTGCCCATCTTTTGAACAGAAGGAAGATGCTACTACTGGAAAAAAAATAAATTTCAATGAATTTTTGATGAGCTTGAAGTCAAATGAAAAGGCACACAATCCTGTTGAGGGACCTGAGAAAGAGAATGTTTTTTTTGTCCCTTCACAAGTCTCAGAAGACATGGCACGATCGTCTGTGGAATTTGTATATTCCAGTGAGCCACTGGACACCTGCAATGTAACAAAAGTCTTTAGAGGGCAAGACGATGGAATGGAAATGACAAAATGCCAGGCATCTGATGTTAAAGCTATGTTTTCTGGTCTTTGTGAAGCTCCACCAGAGCAATTACTGTGTGCGGATGTTACTGAGGCATTTGTAGATGATGGAATGGATATAACGACTAGCCACACTGCAAAAATGTCTTTTCCCTTCTCCAGTGTTGGGAATCAAAGTGTAAACTCCAAAAAGGATTTCCCATCCACAGAGTTAGATAATTCTATATTAAAGAGAGCATCTAATCAGCACTTAATTGTTCAGCAGGACCCTCAACTGTGTATGGAAAAAAAAATAGTAAACATTGAAGACAGACGAGATCCTACAGTGCTGCGAAATGTTAAACAAGAGGCCAGAAGAATGTCTGCCATCCCGGGATGCATTTCTTCTGAGACTGTCTTCCGAGGTGATAAAACTGTTGTTTTTTCTAAATGTGATGACATGGAAATTACTGGGAATTATACAGATGTAATCTATAATGACAGTACCAAAGAAATGAACAGCTCACATCATAAAACTTTTGAAAAGCCAGTCAATACAAACTCTTTGCTAGCAGAAAACAGACGTCCAGCTCATGGTGACGGGGACATTACAACGAGTCTAACATCTTTAGATAATCGAGCTTCTGCATCATATAAAAATAGTGCACTTGAACTGTCTTCGGGCTCAGATGAACGGATCGAAAAAGTGACTCAAGATCACAGGACTGCCTCAGTGAATGTTGGGTTTGATTCCTGTACAAATTCAGCATCTGCTGGTGTTTCTAAGAGTAGACTGCAGCACAGACTAGCAAACTCTCAACTTGTTTCCCTGCCAGGTGAGAAGACAGTAATATTCTCAGGAGAAGATATGGACTTGACTAAAACCTGTCTTGTCAAGGATGATGGGAAGACTGTTGAAAGCGAATCTGCTGCTGGAGTGTTCACCTCTGTCACCTGCAAACCTCGTTTTCTTGATAACAGACCTACGTCTCTCAATTTAAATGAACAGGAAGAAATGGAAATAACTAAATGCCATGCTGTTGTCATCGATAATCAAAGCAATGGGATGACTGCAGAAGCAAATCAAACGCATTGTAAAATAATTCCAAGAAAGAACCAGAACAAAAATGTCAGTGAAGGCGCAAATTCTTTAGATATGAACAAGGAAAATCTTGAGGTGATCAGCATCAATGGGAATATTAAAAGAAGCCAGGCTATAGAAATGAATACGAAAGATTGTGAGGTGATAATGGTTGATAAGAAGCTTGGAAAAACAAACTTTCAGGCAAGTGGTCCAAGTTCCTGTGCAAAGAGTGTGCATTCATTACAAGAGCAAAAGGGAGAAGTCCCTGCGAATATTGTCACCAACACCCGTGCATTCATGTCTTCGCAAAGTCAAAAAGTTGTTACATCACAAGCTTGGGGAAAAAAACTTCTAAATGCCTCAGTCTCCTGCACAAATGACAAAATGGGCATGTTTTCAGATCATCAAACCACGGACATCACCAAAACTCATCCTGCTGCCTTTGATGTTGCTTCCATTACTACAGTATGCGAATATGAGAATAACCATAATCAAGGTAACGTAATATCCAAGCAGCTGCAAAACCAGACCTTCCCGTTTTCTGGTAGTTCTGGTGTAGATACCCCAAGTCAGACTCCTGCAATAGAAGGTGGGGATTTGAAAATGAACACAAACAAGCAAACTGTTACTCCTTTGGCTCCAAATGGTTCGCTTATTTCCAGTAACCAGCCTGCTCCCTCTGGAATGAAAGGAAATGAACAATTTGGAACAATGTTAGGAATAAATGCAGATTGCCAAAACTCAGACAGGCAAGAGAAAACCCATACTATGAGGGTAGTATTGCCAACTCGAGTAGATTCGGAGAGAGATTTTTCAATTGGTAAAACAGTTTCTTCAGAAGAGGATTTTAAAAAGCCCCACTCAGTTGCTGGCCTGCATGTGAGGGGTGCTGAAGAGCCGTTACTAGCCAATACATCTGAACCACATAAGGGAAGTTCCCAGTTGCCTTTGTTTTCAGAAAAATCAGTTGTGTTTCCTTCTGGTGAAAACATGGACTTGACTGGAAACTATACAGTAATGGCTTCTGATTACAACATCAATGCTGCTTTATCAGAAAGAAAAGCAATACCGGGATACCTCGTTCAAGATGGAAATAAAACAATGTCCTTAAAAAAAGGGGTCATGATGACAAATAGTCAGGAGCAGCCTGCACGCGATGTGTACTACTTGGTATCTGACAAGAAAATATTAACTGTGACTGGTTTAAAACATTCGCCTTTTGCAGGTGAGAGAACTACCATATTTACAGAAGATGCTGATATGGACATCACCAGAAGTCACACAGTTGCAGCAGACAACAAAATAACTTTGCAGTGCAAAAGTTCAAATGATGACATATCCTTAATTTCTGGAGATAAAACTTGTGTTTTTACCTACGATGATGACATGGAAATAAGTAGACTCGATACCGTTGCAATTGATAAACCTATGGAAAAGGCTGCATCTCAAGGGATGCTTAACATGGCTAAAAGAACTGGAAGGAGAAGCTTGAAGGGAACAACAGGGGAAAAGACACTTTTATTTTCACCAAATGATGAGAATAATGACATGGAGATCACGGAGAGTCATACAGCTGCAATAGGCCACGAAATTGTCTTACAAAATGAGGGAGGGCTTCATTCTGTCTCTTCAGCTCACCCTGTTAAAACTGTTGTGTTCACAAGTAGCCAGGCTGACATGGGCATTGCCAAGTCTTGCTCTGCTGATAAAAATACCGTAAAAGTTGTATGTGATGATAAACCAAACTTGGATAAGGAGGCTGGACAGCAAGCACTTTCAAAGAGCGAGGCTACTACGTTTGCTATGGATGATATGGAAATCACTAAAACCCATAATGTAGCTTTGGAAGAAAATTCTCTGCAAGGCAGGCAACCCAAACAGTCTGTTCCTTTAACTTCCACAATTATGTTTACGAGTTACCAGGCTGACATGGAAATCACTGAGTCTCACCCTGTTGATGAAAGTATTGAAGGAATCTTGTGTGAGGATAGATTAAACCTGGCTAAGCAGGTTGAAACAGCCTCCTGTCCAGGTAGCAAAACAGTCATTTTTACTTCGGCTGAGGATATGGAGATCACTAAAACTCACGCAGCTGCATCAAGTGGTGAAATTGATGTACAGGACAGAGAGTCCATTCCAGCCATTTCTGCAGTCCCTGCTGATAAAACCATTGTGTTTACCCACAATCAAGATGATATGGAAATAACTGCATCCCATACTGTTGCTGTTAATAACAATATTAATGGATTTGAGAACCAAGAAGTGTCACGTAAAAGCACTCAGCAAGCAGACTTGCATAGTGCGTCGTCTTCTTGCAGAGATGAAATAGATTCTCCGCATACAAAAGACCTGAATGGTGAATGTCATACAAAATCTAAGGATAAGGCCAGCGTTACCTGTTCTGCTTCATCAGCCTCAGCATTTCCTAGTGAGAAAGGAGCTAGCAAATACCCCAGTGGCACAATACCAGATTCCGTTTATTCTATCTCACTTCCAGAAGAGACTGCGGGTGTGCGGACACCACAGCATCTCGACCTTCCCACAGATAATTCTGTCCCTGCGAACAGTCAGCAGGATCTCACACTGCCAGAAAACCTGCAATCAAAGGGAGTATCTTTCAAGCTCCCAAGTAATGGGCCCATGGATTGCAGTGAAGAAAGTGGCGATTTGGTATCCCATGTTTCACTTCCCATCCAGCAGTCAGATTCTTTGAAGGCTTCTCCAGATGCTCGTAGTACTCAGAGAAACCAAGTCTTGAAAGATGATTCATCTGGACGTGAAGATTTAGCTACAGATTTAGGCTTGGCTGGAGCAAGCCTTGCTTCAGTTTCTAACAAGGAATCAAAGCAAAATGAGGGGCTGTCAGCTGAAGGGGAGACACCTCCAAAAGACTTTCAAATAAACTCCGAACAAACTAAGCAAATTTTGGTCAGTGACAGTCCAAGAGATCAAACAGATCCCGCTCTTGCACCTGAATTATCAGGTATTTTAAATGTTTGTTCAAAACTGAAAAATATTAGAAGGAAATCTGCAGTTCTCTCTGCTTCTGAAACTGCATTTTCTGACCAGTTGCCTGAATCAACTCAGCCAGACGATACCTTGAGGTTAGGAAAAAATACTGTAAATGAACCAAATAATTTATTTTATAACAAAGAGCGGGAGAACACAGGTCTTGAATCTGGAGCTGCTCCCATAGATGCAAATTTAGGCACAGCATTTAAGGATAAACATCAAGGAATAAATGTCCGTCTAGGTATCTTCCAGCCTAAATTACCGAACAGAAGAAATCCTTCTGTTTCTAGCGTACAAGACACAAATGCAAAACCTTCAGACAACAGAGAAGCACCAGTTTCTGAAGTAAGTAAAAATGCTGGTGAAACCCCAGGTAACAGCAAGTCTAGTAGGCAGAACTTCAGCCCTTCTCGTTTTATAGCAGAAGAATTTCTTCCTGTCTGCCTAGAAGAAATGGATTCAAATGAATCTGTAAGCTCTGAACTCGTGGAAAATGCCTGTAACGAGATAAACAAAAAACAAATCTCCCACAATGAAAAGAATGAATTTGAAGAGGCAAAAACTTGTAACAACACGAAAAGGGCTTTGGAACAAGATAAGGAGGATCTTCAAAGTCCAAAGAAGGTCAAGAGGGATGAAAACTTGGAAGGAGAGGCCTCCCAGGACTTGCAGGTGAGCCTAATCACTTGTCATAAGGATACAGTGAACGCTAGCAGGCAGGGCTTTCCTTTAAATTTTTGGGTGTAAGCAGATGTATTGATAGGTTTTCTTGTTTCTCTTAACCACCAGTTCGCTGTCATTTTGCTGTGTCATCCCCTGTATTTTTCATTGTTTTGCCAAAATAGAAGAATCGCGTTGATCTGTGCAACTTTCCTGAAGCGTGCAAAACAGACAGAATAAGGGATATGCCAATTGTAAATCATTCTCTGCGTAGTATCCTTTTAATCCTTTCTCGACTAAATACTCTTAGTCCTCTGAAGTAAACTATTTGCTAGTTGTTGCTTAGATACAATGTTAGAATAAGGCCTAAAGCAATTATTTAAAATCCAAACATGGATGTTTAGTTTAAATCAGCTTTTTTATAGACAGCACAAATTGCAGCTGAATCAAAAAAATCTGTGCAAATATGGAACATTAATCTGACCTTAAAAATGGGTTTGTACATCCTCAGGAGAAACTTTCTTGTTCCAAAAGATGGAAGAGTATGCTGTGGTGGCTGCTGCTTTGAGAAATGAAGGAAGGGTTTTGCAGCTTTGCTTCCTATATGTCATCATAGGAAATGGCTTAACTAGCCAAACACTGGTTTGTCATGCCGATTAGATATGAAATGTGCTGATACTAAAAACAAACCAATTCTGAATGTCAAGAAACAGCTACCAGAAACTACTGATTGACTTACTCCTGTATTGTTTCATATAACTTCTAATATCTTTTTTTTGTTTTTAAACTTGCTAATATTAGGTTACTTTTGGCGCTGTGTCTCAAAGCCAAGTAGAAGTTCATGAAGGTGAAGATCCTCCAAACCTACCGGCTAAAAGCCCTGACTGTACTCACGCCAGCACCAGCAGCTCTTCGGATTCTGCTAAAGCTGACACAGAATTAACAAGTAAGACTTCCTTTGTGGTAATAGTCTAAAACCTTGTGTTCTTTACGCTTAATCAAGGCAGAGCCCCACCCGCAGTATATATTTCATTTGGGAAAGGCCTCGAATGCCTGTGTCGCAGCTTCCCACCCAGCCAGTCAACATGCTTTTACGTTCTGGCTAAGAGTCCAAGTGGTTCAAGGAAAACTGAGATGGGAAGAAAAAGGAGCAGAATTTAAGTACAGCTTTGTTTTCAAGGGCAAGTTGGGCTGATGAAGTAGTTTAGTTACCTTAGCACAGAGCAAAGTCCCATCTTAAATTCTGCTGGCCCAAAGAAGATTTTAAGCTGGTTCTGTGCAGAATGAGTCTGTGTGTCTCAGCACTGCACTCTTGGAAAAAGACTCCTCAGAGCGCATTGCAGGGACAGGCTCTAAGCAGATTCAGCCCCCAGGTTTAATTAGCTCTTGCTAATTAACTGATACCTAACATTGAGGCAGAAATCTGCCAATCATCCGATAAGTGCTATCTTGCATCTATTTACAAAACCAATTCCAGTTTTGGCCTTCTGCAACCATGAAAGCATGTGCCTTATCCAGTAGAAGTTGGGTTCCTTCCTTTGAGTGAGAAACTAGCCCTTGTTGGCTCAGAACTTGAATGCCGTGTTTTTACCTCAAAAGCTTGGTCTCTCTCTCATCTCATAGGATGCTCTCTGCGAACTGGTTGAGGTCCCTTTCTCAGTTTTACTACTTTTTAGTATGTTACATGTGGCTTTCCTTCCATAGGAAAGTGAACTCTGTCATTTCATTACTGCTCTGACACAGATTTTATTTTACACTAGATTCTTAATGTAGTCCTCCTTATTTGTCCCAAGTAGTTGTTTCCTCAGTTACTTCATTCGGCACTGGAAACATACAGAAAGGTCAAACTCTACATTAAAATAGGGTGGATTTTTTTCTAGAGCTAAGAGCTTAAGTTCACATTTCCTTAAGAACATTATTAGCCCCAGCAATGCAATATCCCCTTTTTTTTTTTTTTCTCCTGGCTAGTTCAGCGAAGCAGTCAGATGGAGTCTCTGCTGCTCACAGATAGCATTTGTGAAGATAACTTACGGGAGGTATGTAAATAACTTGTCCTAACAGGAAAATACTTGTGTGTGTATATGCAAGTAAGCGTTCCTGCTTGAAAATTGTACTTATCTGTACATTTTTCCTAATCTTCACAGAAATTTCAGAGTGGTGTTATCACAGTTGGGGAGTTTCTTACACTTCTTCAAGTACACATTCCGATTCAGAAGCCCCGGCATAGCCATGTTCCAGCCAATGTGAGTATCTGTCCTTTGAGAGGCGTAATATAATTGACCTGAAATTATATTCATCTTTTTTGTTTGTTTGTTTGTAATTGTTATCTACTAAGCGGTCTGTATTAAAGGCCTTTAAATGAGTTAAACCAGAAGTCAGTTCCACCTTGACAAGTGTGTTAGACACTGCGTGCTTCCTCTTGTCTCTTTGCTTGTTCACCCCTGATAAGGCTGATGCTTTTTTTTCATCAGTACTGAAAAATAGAATAGATTTCAATCTCTTAACAAAATACCACATATTCAGGATTATCTGTTCTTGGATAAATACGGTAATTCTTGCTTTTTTAACTTGTTTTGAGGATGATAATTTTCAAAGTAAGAATTAGAAGCTCAGTCTAGCCTTTTCACTTTATCTTCTTACTATGTCCATCACTTGACATTACTACTCTTTATTTCTTCCCCTTAAGTCTGTTCTGCCTGAAACCCGTTTCAGTATCCTTACCCTGAAAGGTTTCTGATGAATTTTTGCAGACATGGGAACAACTTTTTTTTTCTCATGCAGACAAGTACCATTCATTCAGCATCAAGTTACTACCAATAAGGCAATAATCTTACTTTGCAATCATCCTGAAAACAGAGCCTTGTAAATTTTCTGTTCTGCAAAAATAAAGCTTTCGGGCCTTTTACTGGTTTCTGTACATGAATTGATTGGAAGTTACTGTTTCTGAAAAATATGCATCTTTCTTTCTTTTCCTTCACAATTTTTCCCTCTGTTTTTCCCCAGTGTGCAGTCAGTACACCACCTACTCCAGAAGACCTCCTTTACAGCCAATATATTTATCGCCCCAAGCTGCGTATTTATGAAGAAGACTGCCAGGCTCTCTCTCAGATGATAGATGAGTAAGTGTTTTTTCAGTCTCAGAGTATATTAGTCGTTTTATTTTTTCTGCTCTGGTTGCATGCAAAGTGGCCTGAAGAAAGTTAATACATTACATACAGGGAAAATAAAAAATGATAGTTAACTTCTTTATGCTGGTATCCAGTTTATTATGGATTTAGACGGTATAGGGCTAACTCTTGGGGAGGAGTTGTGGTTATGGAGATAATTCAAGTTTGATTTTCCTCAAGTAATATATCTTTTACTAATAGAGTTTCAGTTGCACATCAGAAGAGTTAGAGTAAAACTGTTTAAAATTGTATCAAAAATGATCAGAGAAAGCAGAATGGTAACAGGTTACAATCTGTTGTTTGTTCCGTTCTTCCAGTGTTTATTAGATTGAAATATAGTTACATGATTTCTTTTCTTATCTGAAGGACTCTTCAGATTCATTATGCCTTTCACAATTTATGTGCAAAACTAAGTTTTATGGTAAAAGTCAAAACCAGCAGTAAGATTTTTCCCAACCTCATTAGCACCCTTTCCTATTTCTTTGGCTCTCCTGTTCAGACTGGCCCTCAACAAAGAGACTGTAGGGAATGAAGTTTGTATTATGTGCTAGAGTTTAACAAACATGCTCCCCCTTTAATCAAGGCTTTAGAGGGTCTCTCCAAAATGTAGAGACTCAACTAAATTAAAATATTTGCATTCCCATGTTTTAATTAGAAAAGGGGAATGAGTTGTATAAATACCAATGTGCTGCTTTATGTGCTCGGTGCTGTTGCAACAAGACTTTTCTTTCAATTTTTTTTCCACATTTCAGGTTAAAACTGTATGCAGACGTCCAAGATCAGCTCCTGGTGAATGTGAATAAGAGTTTGTGGGAAGTAATGAGAACCTGCTCTGATGAAGAGGTAATACTGCATGAAGAGATAATGTTGTTTCTTACATAATGAAGAAGTAAGGGTAATTTATGTGTTTAAATAAAATAAGAACCAGAATGGTCACAGAACACCAGTAGGCAGGCAGGTGATACAAGGCAAAATATTTTCTGAATGGAAAACTGCTGTGAGAACTTCTAATATGTCTGGAGGATCCGAGGATATGTGCCCTTTAAAATATATTAAAGGGAATATGTTGTATAAAACAGAAAAACTTGATAATTCAAGTTGATAATTCAGGTTCGTTGAGGGCAGGAAAGAAAAGAGAAACTTTATAGGGGCCTAAGCAAACAGTGCAACTTTGGAAGGGAAAAATGAACTGCTCTTACTGTAGAGACTCTGTTGCTTCGTTGGTGGAGCAGAATTGGCCGTTAACTTAAATGTGTATTTAGTTCAGAAAGACATGTGATGTTGCAAGACGTAAACCAAACAGAAAATATGTGTCATTACACAAAAATAAAACTGCATGCTGGATTTGCAACATTTGCATTTAAAAAACAGAAGCAGTATAAAAGTATCCCAGACAGACTGGGAAGTCAGATAAAGAGATTCTGTTTTCTGTGGTTTTAATGTCAAGAATAAAGGATCTATTCAATGAAAATAGTCAAAATTGATAAAAGTATTTTTCATAGTTCAGAATTAGATTGATATGGGATATCACGGAGGCTAGGTTATTAACTAGATTCAGGAAGAACTACAGTTATGAACAATGAAAGCACCTAGAACCCTTAGCTGAGAATAACAAATTTGAAAGCTTATTAAGCAAATCTCTACACACTGCAATTAGCATGATACCACCTAGAGGAAAAAGGCAGATGGCAAACACTGTAGAAAAAAGCTTTTTGTACATTCCTCTGCAGCTTCTGGATTGACAGCTGCCAGAGAAAACATTGACCTGCATGATCTGTAGCTATGTTCTGTTAAAATGGGTTTTAAGTTTACTTGTTGTGGTCTGGGTTCTGCCTGGACTTCTGTGAGCAGTTCAGTTAGCCTCCTTAACCGAAATGGGACGTGTGTTCTGAATACATCTCGAACAACTGGAATGAGAGACATCTGATATGCTTAATGCTCTGGGTTTTTGTAAAAGCATCTCTTCGGTTATTTGTGCAGCCCCCTACCTGAGTAAAGACCTTGTTGGATCTTTGGAAAGAAAATCAGTTACTCTACTACGCGACTGTACTTGAATTTACAGGGATTGTCCCGCCTTAAATTTGATTTAATTTGCAAGTGTCATGTAATACTGCTAGTAGAGAAATGGGATATTGGGAGGAGCAGAGAAGGGAGAAAGAGTCTAAAAGGTCAATTGAACAATCTTTTGTTGTGCATTCCCAGTCACTTTCTCTTCTGTATTTTCCTTTTGTTGCAGCTGAAGAGCTTTGGAGCAGAATTGAACAAAATGAAATCCTATTTCGTCAAGGAGAGTAAAATCTTGGCTCACAATGAGAAAGCGGCATTGTACAGCAAATTGCTGCAGAGCGCGCAGGTAATGTGCCACAAGGCTGCAGGGCTTCAGCTTTTAAAAAAGGAACTTCTACCATATTTCGTCTGTCTTTGGCTGTCAAGTTTAGGAGCCTAATTATTGCATGTAAGTGTGCATGCTCTTGAAAGTTTCCTTCTTATTAAACGTACTTCCCTTTTTTTTATATGCAAATGTAAAGCACACGGGGACAGTGACTTTCTTGCACTTACACTATAGGAACTGCCTAAGGGTTTTGGCAATTAAAGTAGCAGTGAAAAATGGGAGTATTAAAGGAAATGCCATCAGAAATTTGCTCTTTATACTGTAGTAATGTCAGTATTAGTAACTAACAAGGAAATGCAGAGGTAATGCATTGTGATAGGTATCAGAAATTTGTATGTGTTAAAAGCTCTGTGAATTTATTTATTTCCATGTCTTATCTCATCCCTTCATTAGGAAAGACACACTGTTAAACATCTGGTACTTACCCATGGCTACTGCCTTAGTGTTTGTCAGTCTCCCTCTTCATTCTAATGACAGATTATATCAGCTTCTTTAATTAGTTTCTTAGCAAGCAAATATTCACATGGTGGTCCCAGAAGACAATTCAGCTTTTTAAAAAATGTCATTGAGTCGAGTACAATTTTCCCATCTTAGGAACAACATGGAAAGCTACAGTCAAGAATGGAGAAGCTGGATGAATTGATCAAGGAGGCTGAGAGCTGTCTTGTTGCTCTGGAAGATGGTATGTGTTTCCAAGCTGGTGATCAGTATGCCGATTTCTGTATTTTTTTGCACAGCCGCTCTTTAAATGATCAGTTCAAGATTTTGTGTTTAGTGGTTGCTTGGAATTTTACAATTCCTTTGTTACAAGTATTTCTTAGGCCTAAACACCTTCATTTGTGCCTGCAAACTTGTCTTGTGGGAATCACTCGCACATCATAGGAAGACTAGGAGTATATCTGAGCTGAAACACCAAATTATAATCGTAGCCTATGAACACATAAGCAAGCTGGCTAAATCTGCTAGCGCTAGCTGTACAGCTGCGGGCAGTACAGCTACGGGCAGCACGCAGTCCCGTGGCTGCAGAACCTGCAGCGATCCTGCAGGTAGGCAAGACGAAGCTTTGCACTCCAGGAATGTACCGTTTTCAGCATCGCAGCTGGATGCTCTAAAACTTGTTCAGCTGTATTCACGCAAGCTGCAGTCAGTACTTCGCATTGCTGCATAATGATGCTCTGTGTATTTTCCCTTCTTTCCTTCCAACTGGATTTTCTTCCAATGCCTTAACTAGAAATCAATTGCACAGTAGCAGCTTTGAAACCATGCAATAAAAGGAGTTTTCCTTGTTACCTGTTACTTTTTGAGGTTTTTTGTACATTTTTCTTAGTTAGCTTTGAAATACTAAGATTGATAGAACCCACAGACAAATAAAATGGAATCTAAGTATTGAATCTGGGAGTTCTGCAGACACCTGAATCATCTTTCCCGTAGATTCTGACTGGGAAGAATGGGAAGCAGACTGCAGTGATGAAATGGCAGAAGGGAAAAGCCAAGGGAAAGGTAATGGTACCAGCTGAATGGTTTTGTTTTTTAAATTCTGGAGAGGGTGATACCACCCCCACCCTGATATATTAATTCTGATAACCGATGCAAACACTACTGCTTTCTTTTCTGCATTGCATGTAGCTAATTACACAGATGTTAAGGTACGAAAAGGACTCTATTTCCCCTGGAAAAATGGAATTTAGAACTTGGTACAGTATGACTTGAAAAGTGTGTGCTGGCTATCATGTTCAGCACTTAAATTGTTCAATAATTACTGACCTTTGTTGACCGCATACCTATATCCAAGTAGGAGTATCAGCCATCAAGTTGAGATCTTTCAGATTGTTAAGAACAGTGACTGCAGAGCAAGTTAGGGCTGTCTTTGCTGCTCCTTTCTCTCATAGCTTTTTTCCCTTTCTCTTAGAATTTAAAAGCCTCAAAGCCCAAGAAGAGGATCTTCAAAGGTAAGATGTCAAAGAGGATTTTAAGACCTTAAATAACATGTTCACGTTCACATTTTAGAGGGTTGGTGTGTTTTTAACCGATGCGCTACATCTCATGTGGTTGGCGTATCTTTGCAGAGAGCTGTCAGACCTGGAGGCTGAGAATGAGCAAATGCTTGCTCAGATGAAACAGCTACAGGAAGAAGAAAAAAGCTGCCAGGAGCTCCTGGAGACATACGAGTAAGGAAAACACTTTCAGGTTTTATTTTTATCAGCTAGTTCTGTGGCTTCACATTTGTATATAAATGTTTTCGCTTTTGGTTTTCTTTGTCGTTTGAGTTGGGAAATCTTTGCATGCCAATCTCCTTGCAGCCTAAGATAAGCAATAAAGCCTCGGTGAGCTTCTGTGCGCGATGCACTGTTTTTCTATTAGCTACTTGGCAGTGATACTCTACGTTCAGTCTTTCTATATCCAACTCTCCTCCCATTCCAAAATCAACATTTATGTAAAATGAATAATATTATGCTGGCATTCCCAACAGATTCTTAGATTCTGTTGGAAAGGGAAAATTTTGTTGGTATATTATGTGGTAATAGCTGCAAGTGCACTTAATACTCTGATCTTTGTCCTTCAGGTAACTGTGGGGGTTGGTTGGTTGAAACTTAGGGTGATGGTGTTTTTTCCCCTCCTTTTTAGCTTCACTGAGTGGGAGATTACTGAATGGAGTGAACAGCAGGCAGTCTTTAATTTTCTTTATGATGCTATTGAACTCACAATTGTGTTTGGACCCCCACTAGGTAAGTCACAAAATTGCTAGGTTTCCGTTTTACCGATTTGAAAGGCTAAATAGTTACATAATAGAAATGTAAAGTTCCTACATGTGTGATCTGCTAAAAGGAAACAGAAAACGTACCACAGCAGGAGCGGGTAAGCTGAGAGGTGGCTTTGAATAACTCTGTCAGTGCTTTCTATGAAAATTCAGCAAAGTACGTAATGAATGGCTGCTTTTGAAGAGGAAGAGCTGTAACTCCAGACCTAAGTATGGAAATAACTACTGTTTGGGGTTTTTTCCCTTTTCTTCTCAGATGGTGATGATTTTGGTGAAGATCCTTCCAGACAGATAGTCAGCCTGAACTTTGAATCTCTCTTGGATGGTAAGATTTTTCGAGTAGGTTGAAAGTAGCTGCCCTGATAATCTGTTCTTGGGAGGACATCTGTAGATTTGTGGTTTATCTGCTAATGTATTACCGTATGGCTTTTCAAAGATTTCTGGGAACATGTTTTTCTTTTGTGTTACAGAGGAAAAAGCTCCACCCTCCTCATCTTTAGTCCAAAGACTCATCTTCCAGTTTATTGAAAGTCAAGGATGCTGGCAGGAAAAGTGTCCCACACTGTACTACTTGCCCCAGGTAATGTCCCAGGAAAAAAGGCTCTGGAAGAACATTAAATGTTTTCTGTCATAGAGAATAGGGCTGATACTGAGAACATAAGCGTCTTAATGAATCGATGCAGATCAAAATCCGCTTCCTGGGTACTCTGAGGTGAGAGGCGAAGTACCTGTCCCTGAAGGCAAGAGTCCTAAAAGCTGTGGTTTCTTCCTTGTTTGCTGCATTATTATCTGCCTGTCATATTGATTTTTTAAAATCTTTTTCTTCTGCTAGTAGAAAAAAAAGAATCAAGCTGAATGCCGTTCTGCTTCCTGAAGAATTAATGATTTAAATTGCCAAGCCAAACTTGGTGTTCCTGCGTGTCTGTGTATGCCTGTTTACAAAGCTGAAGGGAGAAACTTAGGGCAAAGAATGTGTACTTGTTGTTGTGCTTGCACAATTTCATTTTCACATCCGAGCAGTTAAACAACTTTTTTTTTTTTTGGTATACTTTCTTGGATAAACTGCATTTTCAAGTGTCACATAGTTTACCAGCCTGAGTGCCAATGTGATTGCTTTCATGATTGCCCACTTAGGTTCTTCATGATGTCTCTTTGGTGGTGAGTCGTTGCAAGATCTTAGGAGAGGAGATTGAATTTCTGGAGAGATGGGGTGGAAAATTTAATCTTCTGAAGACAGAGGTCGATGATACAAAGTGAGTAACTTCGGATGGAGTTTTCACCAGTCCTTCAGAGAGCGCCTGTAGATAATCAGGAACAAAACACTGAAATACTTTCAGTTTGGTTTTCTTGAAATTGAGATTTTTATGACACTATTTTTAACAACAACCTAATTTATTTTAATACAATTGCACTATAATATTCAAATGTGTGGAAATTAAGCTGTTCTTGGATTCAGCCAATTTCCATACTATCATATAACCTCTCCTTCCTTGCCGCTTTCCTGTTTCACTTGACTTTCACTTAAAGCTTTAGGCCAGAGTGTAACAATGCAAAGGAAACAGCCAAGAGTTTACCTGTAGCGTAATGCTTTGTTTCTTTTAATCTTCTATTTGTTTCAGCCAAGCAGAATCAGTTGCTAAAGGACAAATACGCTTAAGCTAAAGTTTCTTTTCTTTAGTTTTCATTTTCTCATACTACTTCTTGATTTTGTGTCATGTCCTAGTGGAACGGGATAAAATACGACTTCATCTTAACCTTCTGTTATCGATGTATATCCTTAACAAAGAAGTGCCCGGTTAAGCTTGCCCTGCATGCCTTGATGCTGTTCCCATTGGTGATTCTAATTTTGTAGTACCCTTTGCAAGAGTGGTGTTGTACTACGTGCCAAAAATTCCATAAAAGCTGTATTTAGTTAAGGCGACACAACAGACGCAACGTGGGCAGCCTGTGCTCAGGAAGTTGCACATTGCTGGAGATTTACCTGGAAAATACCTGGTTTATGCTTATTCTAGTTTACGCTATCCCAAAGCATCTGCTTCCTGGGTACTGCGTCATTGGTGTTATCCATATTTACAATAAAATTAATCTCTGGCCTTCCTGCACACCATCACAGGCAAGGATACTGTGCTGGATAGAAATCTGGCCTGACTTAAAGAGGGCTGGATTCGTGAAACAATCTTAGAACTCTGGAATTGAAAGTAAATCAATCCTACTTAAAACTTCAGAAAACTTTAGCTACCTAAGAATATTTTGTGAACTAGAAAACCGTTTTGATTATTACTCTAGATTCTCCCATAATTTTTGAAAGGTTCTGTGGATTATATGTGTACTGATGTTTTCTGTGAGGAAAGTTGGGGGTTTGTATTCTAACTCAGTATCAGAATGCTGCTAGTATTAGAGTGGAAAGGTTCTTTCAGCCTGGTTTGTGACCTGAGTGTTAGTCTGTGCTGGAACTCTTCAGAAGTTAGTGAGCTTGTTGCATCAATTACAACATTTGTTTTCACTTCTGGAACTTAATTCAAAGGTGGTAGCAGAACATTTGAATGTTTCATATTGATCTTTTTGTTTGTGTTTATTTTGCATACAGAGTGAAGCTTTTGTTCTCCGCTTCCGCAGCTTTTGCCAAGTTTGAATTGACGCTGTCTCTGTCTGCCGACTACCCATCTGCTTCACTGCCTTTTACTGTCCAAAAACAAATTGGGAATATTGGGTGAGTTGAACAGAGAGAACCAATCCATATGACTTAAGTTTCAAAGCGAGGGATGGGGAATTAAATGTGCCGTATCCTCTCAAACATGTGTGATAATTTCGAATTTTGTCTTTCCCAGGGAGGAGGAAATTTCTGCCGTTCTCTCCAGTGTACCAATTGGTTACCACTATCTGCGCAGAATAGTCAGCTTGATTCATCAGAATTTGCTCCAGGCTCCCAGATGATTCACTAGACCCACGTGCAGGACTGAAGAAGTCAGACTGGATATTCTTTGCTTTTGGTCTTGTAAGAATTCAAGCTGTCTCTCACCAGAGTGGGAGTGCTGTTAGCTACTCGGCTCTTTAGTAATCTTGTCGAATAATTGGTTGATATGGTGGATGCTTGGTGTAGGCCGCAAGTTTTTATAAAAGCAGAGGTCTCTAAAGGGGAGAAGGAAAAATGTCTTCTGTTTTGGATTTATCCAATCTGCCTTTTATTTTCTTTCAGTTACCAGTGGTCTTGCCCTCCTTGTAGATACAGTCTTTCCTAGAGTGGATATTCTTCTGACGTAACGTGTTCATTTTGTTCTGGGCTGATTTACAGAGCTCTAGTATGAAACAATGATGAGTATTTTCTAAATTAACATGACCGAAACTTACTTTCACTATCATTACTTCTGTGCTTTGTAGTATTTGAACATATCATATCACGTTTGATTTTTATCAGTTTCCTGGAACCCCTCCCAAAACACAGAAATTATAGTCCTGCTTCCGTTAACCAAATAATCTGTAATAATTAACCAGGTGGCCAAATTCAGAAATACTTTTGTCATGAAGACTAAAGACCCCTGTGCTTGACCATAGACTTTGCGGTGCAAGAGACTCAAAGCTGTCGGGTTCCATCTGTGGGATCCTCCCCAGCCGGGAGTTTGTTCTGATGTTCGGTGCCTCTGTCCAGTACAATCTCTCTCTCGGTTCTGGTACATCCTCTGACTTTGTAATGCGTTAGAATGTTAGTGAGGAGACCGAGCTATTGAAATGTAGGGGGTGGTATCTGTAATAACGCTGGTGCAGTCTAGATTGCTTTTGTATATATTGTATATATTATGTAGGTTGAGCTGTTGAACTGATCTAAGCTGGCTTGAGTTTATCGTGTAGAAGTGCCTACCATTTCTCCGCTGTCCACTCTGTAGGCAGATGGGAATTTTTGTATCTCTGTAAAATATGTTGAATTTAAAGATGTTTTCATGTGTTTAAGTGTTCATATTTTTGTTGTCTTTTTACAAAATTTCCTTCTATTTGGAAGGTGGAAGTTCATTAAATATTTGAATTATTGCTCTTCCGTCTTCAAGTTGTGATTATTGGCTGCTCTATCTAAACTTGTGACTGAAAATTTGCTGACTACTATTGAAATATCTTTGTTAGCTATGTGGGAGGACTCTTCGTAATACGAACTTGTTTGGGTTTTCTTGTTGGTTTTTTCCCTTGCGTTTCCTAGGGTTGGCTTTCTATGGCCTGGCTGTCGCAGAAGAATTTATTTTTCTTTTTTTAACTAGGAAAATAGTGCCTAAGCTGCAAATGACTCAGGTATTAGACCTGGAATTACTTTTAAATTTCCTAAGGTCGTTGCATCAGCATTATTAACCAGTAGAGGGTGCTGCGGCAGTACTTGAGGAGCATTCTCCAGCTCGGCCTGTTTTGTTTGGTTCAGTTTCCTTTCAGCATATTTACAAGCTAAATGGTAGCTATGAAGACTGAAGTAAGGTTTTGGTAAAGTTTATTATATTGCTCAGGGTATTGAATTAAAGTATCAGATGAAACAAAACAAACCAAAGCCATGCATTTGCAGTAGAAAAAGAGGATTTGGCAAAAAATAAGCAGTTTCAGTTTTCTATTTAATTTATATTTGTACTTGACGCTCTCATTTAAAATCCTCTCAGGGCATTAGGACTTAAAGATCATAACATCTGTCATCTATAGGACTTGATGTATTTCTCTTAAAATCTTCAGAGAGATAATGAAAAAACTATATTCTTTTGCAAGCCAGATTTTGATGAGAATGCCATTACTAAAGCTTTTCATACACAGTGCTTATTGTAACCATTGCTCAGTCTCAAAGCTGGATATATGATATTAGAGAACTCACTTCCTTCAACAATCCACTGCCATTCGTGGAGTAAAGCTCAGATTAGATCTCAGGTTAGGGCTGTACTGCTTTTAAGGATGGGGGGAAAGGTAAGGGAGAATAAATTAATTAGGTTTCAAGAATAAATTTACTTTTCTAGGAAAAAAAAAAAAGCCTATAGATGATGGTTCTTATGTTTGGTAATATAAAACTTGCAATGAAAGAATGAGCGCTATTGTGTTTTCATACTAATACAGTTGGAATGTTGTTTTGACTATGGCTTTCTTTAATGATTAATTTGTGGATATCAGTAATAGAGCACATTGTTTTACTGCATTTAATTTAAAGCACTTGTTCTTGTAAATTTGGAGATCATCCACGAGCACTTATGCCCCAGCATAAATGTGAATTCCAGGAGAACGTCCACCACATCCAAGTTCGAGTATGTTATGGGAAAAGACTTTTATGGTCCTTCAGTATTGCTAACTGAGCATCTTTCTGTATATGTAAATGCAAAATCCTGTTGTGATCACTGTTTTGTCTTAAATGCATATTAAATTCTTTAGCTCGTTGGCAAAAGGTTAAATAATGAGGACGCAAATTATTGTGCATTATTAGTAATACTCAGCTTTCATGTTCCCAACCTTAGTTTTCATGGGAAACATTCCAAAATCTGGAAGCTCCAAACAGCAACGTTTGATATCCCGGTGTTTCCAAGAACTAAGGGGAAAAAGACTTTCAAGTGGAAAATAATTTCTCAATAGGATACTTATACAAGATATGCCACTCTGAAGATCTAGCAGGTAAATTCAAATTAACCGTTAGATACAGAAGATTTAGTTACATGTTGCAGCTTAGGCTTGTACACAGGCTCATCTGCTTTAATTCTAGTAGCTTTTATTTGTGAAGCTTTATAATACACAGTGGTTGGATTTAAGTCAGTAGAGGGACCATAAAAAGTATTTCCTTGGGTATGAGATTCCAAAGTGCTCCCTGTAGTTCAGTTTATGGTGTGAACTTGGGATACCGAAATATACTTCAGCGTTCTATAGAGACTGATAAAGTTTCCTTTTGATATTCTTTTACGGAGAGTTGGCTCAGTTAAGTCGCTTGAAGTTGTCTTCAGGTTGATAACGGGATCTTAGGATTAAAACAGCCATCTTCTGCCAATGGTTGCAAATGGCTCTTAACGTTCTTTGACCTTGAAATGCCAATGGTCAGAGGATTCCGGTTATGGTTGCCGACAGCGCACTGTTCTGTCGGCTCCTGCCACTGGCTCAGCAAACTTCAGTCATGAGCATCACATACACGATATTCCAACGGCACGCCGACATCTTGAGCTGGACTGCCTTGTTTTTAAGAAGAAAATTAGGATTATTTTCTAAACACAACCTCTTTCTAAGTCTTTTTCCTCATTGCCTGCTGTATGACCTGTGACTGCAACTAACGTTCCATTTTTCTCTCACCTTGAAGCCTAGTTTTGGGAAGGAAGATTTCTGTGAAGAGACTCGTTGCTTGTTCTGAACCCCCCCGGCGTGGCTTTGTGGTGGTAAAACGCACTGTGCAAGTAGCGCTTACGTTCCCAACTCTACCATCTAAGCACCTCTGTGTTTTGAGTGTGTGCTGATGTGTTGTTACAGACACGCATACCCTGTCGGTTAATGCCCGGGGACCGTTTCCCGGGTGCGCGGCGTGCGTTAGGGCTGCGATGGTGTGTGCCTGCGTGCCGGCGCCGAGCTGGGAGCACACCCAAGGCTGCAGCCCGCGTTTGCTGGGCTCGGTGCTGCTGCAGGCTTTCTCCAGCTCTGCCGCAGCTCCTGTCACCCCGCTGCCCTCCAGGACGGCTTAGGGACCTTCCCTTCCCAAGGGATTCTCCTAGGATTCCTTTCAGCCTTGTACAACCAGTAAATAGCAAATCTCTCGCTTCCAGCCCACACGATCTCGTAGGAATGGACCCACAGAAGACTGGGGGATGGAACTGCAGGATTTCCCCCTCGGAGGCTGCGATGATCTCATTGGATTTGGGAACACTCCGCTACCGCAGGCTGGTCCCACCCTCCTTCCTCCGAAAAGCTGTGGATTCATCAGCCACTCTGTTACGATCCGAAGTGAGTAAAAACAGCCTTTAGCAGTGGAACCAAACACTTGTAGCTCACCTACCCCTCACCACGCGGAGATCTCCCAGCGTCCACACAGCGTCCTCTCTCTACAGCGGGGCAGGGCATGGGGCCTGCCAACAGCAGTCCGTAACCTCCGAGGACAGAACGGAAGTCCTGAGTCGGGACAAGCTTTTTTAATCGTTGTCTCTAATGACGGGGCAGTGCTGGATGCGAGCCGGCAGCCCGTCCTTCCCCAGCTGTTCACTGCGGCGGGGACCCTACAGAGGACTCAGTCGACGTCCTCTCAGCCACCCCCTGCTCACTCGCTCGCTCCTTGAGCTCTGAGGAGCAAGAGGGGAGCCAAACAATTTACGCCCTTGCACCCTGTGGGATAACGAGCTCTCGGGTAACGAGGCGTTGGCGCAATCGCCAGGGCCGGTAGGAAAGGGGCGCTTGTCTCCGGCGAGCGATTCCTGTCCAAACCTCCATCTCTTCCCACTCGATGGTGCCCACGTGCTGGAGGACAATTAATACCATAATTAGGCACGCTATGATGCGCGTTGCCTTACGCCCTCAGGGGGACAGACGGACAGAAGGTCTGCACCTTCATTTTCTTCTCTGCCACTGCGGACGCGGTGCGATGGTGTGTACCGCACCACGTGAAGCTCCGCTGGGCGGCCGCTCTGTCCACAGAGTCCCCTTTGCCTCTGTAACGTGCCTTTTTACGGCCCGCTCTGTTAAACCTCCTGCCCTTTGCCTGCGCCCGACCCTCCCTGTAGCTCGCCGGCACTAAATGGATTTAAATAAACATTTTAATGAAAAGCGTAAAAACTCCACAGGTGTTTCCAGCGCGCCCGGCCTGCAGCTATTTCCATTTGTTTCATGCATGGTGTTTTTGTGCATCACAGTTCTGCTACGTTTTGGTGCTAAGAAACAAAGCCGGGAGCAGGAGGGATTCCTTGTGCATTTGGGTCAGCTGAAGAAACGGAAAGCGCTGCCGAAACGCAGATTTTGCCTATTTC